TACATCTAGCGAGATCGTATTTTAATGAGGTGAAAATATATTTTTCAAACTATTGGCTGAATCGACGAAAAAATAGTTAAAACAATTTGCAGCCGAAGTCATATTAGTAACTTTTTCTCCGTCTGTATCAATAAAAAAATCCGTTGTTTTTGTCGCACATTTTATTGCATTGTTTATTATTTGTTTTGGGAATTCAAAAAACATTGATCATTAAACAATTTTTTAGCTGCATATATGTGTTTTTGGTGAACTTTTTTTAAATGTTTACAATACAACGAGACCTTCCTTATGCGGGTTCAAGGTGGCGAATTTATATAATAAGTCTCTCAGTCTCGTACCCTGCTGAATAATATCCCTTGTCAGCCACACTTTATAGGTATTCCCTTTATATTTCACTAAAGGAAATGAACAATTAAATGCACTTAGAAAGAGTTCATGAAATGTATTAAATTTATTGTCAAGGTTTTCCCCTTGATTATAAACTGGTAACCAATTTATTTCGGATATTTACATTTCTTGTTTTGTTTTATATGTATTATATTGTTTTTGTATAGCATATAGCTTTTCTTACCCTGTTTTCATTGTTTTTATTATTCTATAGCAGGGTTGTGCCACATATGCTTCAGCTTGTGGAATGGTTTTTTCTTATAATCGAGGCACAATTCTTATTGTTTTTTGTTTTTCTCAGTACTATTTTGCTTTTATTTATTATAATTATTTGACATTTGCGTTTGAGCAATTGTTGCTTCAATTTATCCAGAAATCGATTTACTGCAGAAATGTCCCAAACAACATAAATATATAAATATATATCGGCGTGTTAGATAAAGCATAGAATAACAAACAAAGCAGCACCTTCGATGGTTTTTAAAGTCGGTACAAAAGATTTTCGATTTGTGAGGCTCGCTCTATCATCACTAAGGGTGTTATCTAAAGTTCACTGCTTTTCAATGCAGCGATTTTAGGGAAATCCAGAGAACGCGATGTTTTTTTACCCCGACAGGTTTCAGATTCAGGTTGCATTCTCATCTATCGGAAATAATTAAATCTGATTAATGTCTCTTACGCAACATTTGATAATTCACCTAAAGCATTAATCCAACTGTTTGATAGCAAACAAACAGAATCATTCATTGATGTCGTTGGAGCCAAACAGTCTTGGATATTGTCCAAACTATTGGGGGTGAAATCCATTTAAAAGCACGTACAGTTTCTCTATCCTCCTAGGTGCAAACAAAATCTAAGTGGAAAGTACAATGTGAATACGTATTTGCTTGTTTCAATTTGTAAATACATGTGTCTGATAATCATTTCAGCACGTTCTAGAAACAAAATGAATTAATTAATTTGTATCCACTTTGAAATTCTCTACGCTATTTAAACAAAGCTGTAGCTTGAACACTCTCGACAACGGTTAAGCCGTCATTCGAAAAAAAAAACTCAAAACTATGACAGTGAAAATCTATTCTATAAAGTCTATTACTATATAGGCAGGTATAAAGTAAATATTCGCTATTTTCAACATCAAGTTTTTTAGATTGTAAACTCGCCACTATTTATTCGGATTATTTATTTCACTACAAAGACTTTTCTTCTTCTTTTGTTTCTCTCAGTCGTTGACAGCTCCTAGATCAATGAAAAATAAGTGAGGGGAAATAAATTATAAAACACCAAAGGACAAAATAAGACATTAAGATCACTAAAATAATTTATTTGAGCAAAATATAATGATACTAGTGGGAAAAATTGCGTCTATCCTACTATGATTATATTTTCTATGAAAACAACCCCTATTTACTTGTTGTTTATCGTGTAAAATTCACGCGTTAAAATTATGAAGGTGCTGTTTTAATTTTCTATGTGGTTAAAGGCTTAAAATTCGTTCTTGCATAGACTATCAAGATTGAATGTTAATTCAGCGGCGTAACCGTGTTGCCTATATTGCAAACTTATTTGTGATTCTAATTTTAAACATTCCCTCCGTTATATTCTATGGATACCGCTAAAAGCGTTCGTCAATTTCACAAAACACATTTTCGGCAAACCCAAAGAGAGGAGAATCATTTTTTTTCCAAATTTAAATAACCGTTTTTTAATAAAATATAAACAGACTATCGATAAAATACAGAAAATTTATTATCGATAAACGTAGTCGTAAAATCAATCTGAAATATAAAGCCCTTGTGGGTGTATAATTTTACATCGTAAATAAAGAACAAAACGATTATAATAAAGCTGTTAAAACAGCGTCAATTTTTATGCTTTATCAGTTAAAAAGTTGAAACTTTTATGTATGTAGTACATTTTGGCTTGTATCGACATGGATTCATTTATTAATCCCCGTTGTAATTAATAGCTTTGCCTTACACACCTTGGATGTAATATTTGGATACCGGTCGCGTATAAATTCAAACACAAATGTTAAAAGTTGCAGGTGGCAACCAAAAAAAACCCAAAATATTAAGCATTTAAAATTCTCGAATCGAGGCGGTAGTTCTTTAAAGTAAACCGAATAATTAAAGAAACGAAATGATCCAAAACAAGTACACGAAAATTCAGAACAAAGCAAGTAACAAATTAAAAATACATACTATAACTTCTATTGATTCGGTTGACCCATATTTTCGTCACATAAGAGCTGCTTGAAAACATTATTTACCACTGTGTTCCGAGTGGATAAAATTATACCGCCAGCAAATACGACCAAACCACTTACAAAGATACTTTTTTCTTATCGAAATTCTTTCGAAGTTTACAGAGAAGACAATTTTCGTCTGTAATATTTCGTTCGATAAGCGAAATTATTAATGAAACGGAAAGCTGCGCCAGCATCTTTTAGTAATATAACCAAAGTCACAGAATACACGCACCGCAAAAGTGTGTAAGTGAAAATTTGATTTCAGCTCTAAAAATAAATTATACTCCGACCCACCGAACTATACGGATTTCTACGTAATTTCGGATGTCATTCAATTGGCCAATAAACTCGCAGAATTAAATCAGCCGAAATGGGATGCGATTGATGGTATTATGCACAGTCGATAGGTCAAAGAAGCTGAACAGCGATATAGACAGTTTTTGCCAATAAACTTGTCGTTGGTATCAGTCAATATTTTTCGAAAACCCTGAGTATACCCTATTTATTTTTAATGAACCCCCCCACCCCCCTTAATATTTGGGTTACTTTTTTTTTCGCGTGACATTCAGACACGAGGATAAAAGAACCTACGAACAAAAAAGTAAACACAAGTTCGACCTTTTCGCCGCACTTCTCTGTTTCATCGCCGTGTATGTATAATCGTATTGATTTCTTTCGCTCGTCCTTGCCTATCTTGGACATCTTCATATTAAAATAAAAAGAGATGTTTTTATTACCACCATAATCTAATGTGATTAATTGCACGCATTATTTATTTAAAAGGACCTCTTAAAAAACACGTAAATTTCACATATCAGTTTTTACAATGAGAGTTTTTTTTCTCTCAACGAGACATATTAAACTATGGTAGACACGATGTAATTTCAAAATGCATTTTGTGATTGTGTTTGATTTTTGTTTTTAAAGGTTGTTTCTTAACCTTCGACACATTAAATGTTTTAAACCTAAATAAATTAATCTTTGTGCTCTCTGAAACCAATTGTTGTCTAATAATTTAGGTTACATCGAAATACAGATTTTTAAAAGAAATTCTTTATTGGCATTTACAACACCTAGACATTTTTATGTGGTATTGAGTCTAGAAAGCAAATTTTATAATAAGTTATTGGAATTTTCTTGAGGAGCTTGAAATCATTTTTTTTTAAACTCTGCCCATTCTACATACATAAAAGACAAATGACGCTAAGAAAAAGTCTGAAATCCATTTTTATGGAATGTAAAACGTAATGTTAAAGTCGGAGTTTTGTAGAAGCTGAAGCAATATTAAATGCAAAACATGTCAATTTAATTGGGTCCATTGGAAAAACCAACTGCAAGGACGTTTATACATTGAGGCTTCAATATAACAAAGTTAAAAGCACGCCCTTAGAAATTAAGGGAAAATTATATATTGTAAAAGGCGTTGCTTGCAGTTGTAAACTATTAGGGTAATTGTATTTTAATGTTTCTTGACTGACATTCATCGACAAAGCAATTTATTTTGTGGTTGGATTCGGAACTGGTCAGGTATTCCTTTAATGTCGAATACTCTGATATTTCCATAAAGGCATATATCAAACGAACTATTTTTTATGAAAACAATGCTGCCAATTTTTTTTTTGCAATTGACTTACAAAATCGTCAATAGAGAGTGCTAATAAATTATCAAATCGATTCGAAACTTGGCGAGTAATTTGAGAAAGAAACCTTTCCAAATAAAGAATATAGAACGACGCCCATAAATATTTAATGCTATTATCAAAATAAGTTCTATTTTCGGTAGATATAAACTGGACGCAAATAAAATCACCAAACCGGAGAATATTTCCAAGAATAAGAAGCGTTACATTTTTCGAACGCATCCTTCTAATTAACTTTCGCGTATTAAGAATCCACTTAATCAAATACCCCGCCCGATTTATAATCTGAATATGTAAATTTTTGCTCGCAGTGCAGAGAAGGGATTGTGTTTTGCGTTGTAAGCGGTTTTTAACCTGACCTAGTAGACACAATACGAATATGAATACCGGATTATATGTCCCTCGCGTTTTATGTCGTATATTATAGCTTTTATATTAGACAATTTTGCAAAACTAAAAGGAACAAGCGATCTTTCGCCACGGGTACTACTTGAATTTTTGAATTGAATTTGAAGAAAATTGCCACCGCGACCCGACACATTTTTGTTAATATTTGAAAACACGGGGAAGTTGAAGTATTGAGGTTATGAAACCGACTCACGGCGGGGGAGTACGTCACGTCGTGACCACGTGAGCGCACTGGGGTGTACCGGCGTTTGGTCGCCTGGCCGCTAGGAAAATACCCGGGAAACTTTAAAATATATTTTCGTTTTCAAAATTACCTTCGAACATGTTCGTGAATACGACGGGGGTGGCGTTTCCCCGTGGCAATGGTGCGTTTCGTTCAGGAGGCACTAGAAATGGTTCGATCATGTCCAATTTTCGACATTTACATTTTTTAACACACCGTACCCCAAGAGGATCTGACGTGAACGCTACCGTTGGCATAAACTCGCGCTCTTACGTAGATCTCCGGATAGACTACACGTTTACATCCTCGACGCCGCCGGCATCGCGACGTCGGCGCCCGAATCGCGCCGCCTCACATCGGAAACCCCAGTGACGTTCCCTTTTCACTACAAACGGAAGTTTTTTCGAGTTTCGTCCCCCTGTAGCCCCCCACCCACGCCTCGTTTGTCATTTGCACTACAAAGTGAAACAGGACCAACGTTTCCGGTTTGCTATCGTTATGATAAACGTCCGTCAAATACATTAAACTTCGAAATATTATTCCTCTGCGTTCAGTGGATTATTCTAATTTTTCTATAGATGGTGTTTAAAAAAAAATTCGAAAAACTTGGGGAGCATTTCCTTGATTAAAATAAAGGCTAGTGGGATATATAAACTTTTGGCCAAAAATATCTTAAAACGAGAATATATAGAACAATAAAATAATACGCAAGTATTACTATTATCAAAACACACATTCGGCACATTTTTTAATTATTTATACTTGAATGGAGGGTTGAAAAGGTTTTGAAATTTAGAGAAACACTTACACATGTTTAACGCTACTACATAGCAACAATAGGAGGTTTAAGAAATAAAATCGTAAATGCTTGCGAAGAGAATAGGAAATTTCTTCGAATTTTAGTTTAATTTGAGTCGAGCGAAGTGTACTGCAATTTATGTTACGAACGTCACTGGACTTAATAATCTTAATCTATTAACGCAAAATTAGCCTCTTAATACACCAAATTACATCGGCAAATATTCAACAGAATCGAGTGAATATTTGTTTAGATATTAATACAAAAATCATGTTAATAAAAACTTTTTTCATATTGGAGGGGCATCAAATGTGTCCTATACGGAAATTAAAGCAAATACGAAAGAATGGTAGGCAGGCTATAATATTATATATCAAACATACATACCACTCAAGATTCTTCATAACTTTAGGTTGCTACTTTTCGTTCTAAATAAATCAATAAGAAATTGTTAATACCGGAAGGCACAGCAAACGTATCTTAAATCAATAAATAAGCAATTAACAGCCGATTAACATTTTCATTAATGGTAAATAGAGAAAATAATTTAAATAAATTGTAAAAAATGGATTACTGAAATCCTGATGAAATAATGATTCTTAATTAGTCATTATTTTCATGGAAGCACCAAATAAAAATAATAAATAAAACTAAATCTAGAAAATTGTAAGTGATTTTTGGAAAATGCTACTTTATTTATTTAATTATACAATTATAGTAGTACAGCCTAGTACTTATCGTAACATAATGATAATTTCTTTGCTAAAACTAAAACTGAAACTGATTTCAACAAACAGCAGCTAGCCAGTGAAATTTTGGTTAGTATACTTCTGTATAAGGCAGGCTAAAATAACTGTAAATAACCTCTATTAACATGTCCCCCAATATATAGGTTTATAAACCTTTTACATAGACAAAATACAGTGGAAAATAAGAAAGACGCAAAATTAATTAATTAAAAATTATTAATTATTTAAAATTAAATAATTAAAGAACAAGATCAAATTTGTAAAACTAAACGACAAAAACGTCATGATAGTAACAACAGAGACGTTTAATTTAACTAAGACTTCGACATTCATATTTTTTCTAAAAGAACTGGCTCGAAGGTCGAGCTTTTTTTTCATCTATGATGTTTTTAAGTTTTGGATACATGACAGGGAAATGTCAGTTTTGCGTTTCTGAATCACAATTTTCTTCTCGTGCTTTCTTATATTATTCTGGTGAGAACTTTTAAAAACTGACTAGCAAAACTGTACTGTGTGTAGTTTTATATATTATATTTAACATAAGTATGTTATTTTTTTCCAAGTAATCCTATATTTCTAGGGTACAGATATGTTTGCTACTGTTAAAATTGTGGCTGAGTGTATAACAAATCTGAAGATTACGAATTAGAGCTTGGCGAAAAGCTTTGTTAGCTTTGATCCCTCTTCATAACTCGGAATTCGGTTATGGATTTAAAAATAAAACAATAACCTCCCTAATCATATTGTTGCACGCGAGAATTATTTTAACCGGAACCCTTTTAGATTGTACAGCTAAAACCTAGAAAGCACGACAAAATGTTTGGGTTTGTTATGGTTATGGTAAACATTATTTAGAGGTTCAATACATCAATCCATATTTTACACGGTGGAACTACCAGTTCTCGTGACTTACAATACTTACATTAATCGAGGGAAAAAAATAAGGAGCATCTTTATTTTATTCAAAAACCTAACAACTAAATTTGCGACATTAGTAGTAAGATTAATAATATTAATTAAAAATCAAAAGCTCTGGCGATTCAAATATAACCCAAAAAAAAAAGCAAAATACAGACCATGGCTTAACAGTTAATACCTACTAATTCAACGCAATTCACGTACAACTTTTACAGCGAGGAATGACCTTTTCTACTTCAAAAAATCTAATTTTAAAACCAATCAATATTCGATCGACCTTAGCGTTAAAAAATAAACTATGACGTTGTTTTTTACGTTTCCCATTATTACATTTGTTTTCATGTTTCATAACGACATCCTGCATCGAGGAGATCGTTATAGAGATAGTGAAGGTGGAAATGAAACAATTGCCGACTGTGACTTCGATACGCCATGATGCTTAAGAGTTTGGGCGGCCAGATAGAGGTATCGGGGTGGGTTCATGAGTTTCATCGTCTTCTTTCGTGTAAAATAAATATTGGTGCTATCTGGTAGAAATAAAATAAAAAAAACCCAATCGATTGAGTTGCTGCGCACAAAACGTTTTAAATACAAAATCTCAATATTTACAAACGGCAGTTTTAAATCGATCGATATTCAACTTTTCCGTCAGGCAATATGTTTGCTTAATATCAGCCCGCTGTATGGCAATGTGAAATGTTGAAATTATTCGACGGATTTAAAGTAAAATTTTAAGCCGGACCGGAAATGCAAATTCGGTTTCCGTCAACTATAAAAATAATCTATGTCGATGGGTTTTGAAAATCTAATAGCAATAAAATATTCAAATCCCAGCGAACATTATTTCCGCTTACCACAATTACATTCGCAAAATTTATTACTAAGATTAACTAATAGCAAAACTACATAAAACTATGATTAACAATTTCCATGAGTTTAGTAACTTTTGCTATTTGAGTTTCCGTCACGCCACTAAAATTTCGACTAATTTATATTCACCCTACCCTCATAAGAAAGTTGTTACCGTTTGCGTTAAAATGAAAACGAAGCGATCAATTTTCACCTTGTAATTAAACTTCCTAATCGAAATAGTAAACTAGTAAAAATAAAAAGCGATGTATTTGCCGATAAAGCACACCCTCGCATTCGAACACCGAGACAAATAAAAAGGGGATTCGTTTGAAATCCTAATAATAAGAAAGTGGATCTTAGGACTAAGTGCACAACCGAGCAAAAGTAGATTATTTTCTGATACGCCTTCGTCTCTGTTCCGAATTATTTACCCATCAAAGTTTACCGGGAAATGTAAATTTTTACCCCAATTCGATCATAAAAATTTTATATCCTTTTTTTACGACAACGGAAGGCAATAGGACCTGCGTTACAATCAACCAATCAAACAATGCCGTCTGTTTATTGATAATATTCAAGGTGGCCCCGACACGCAGTAAAAGTTTTTGTCCACACGTCATATTTGTTTGCGAGGACGACAACTTTTAGCGCAATCTAAACTTGACCCTCCTAAATGGGACTTGTTATCCCCTATAATTTTTCAAACAGGTCAAATAATTGAAAAGGGGGTTGGATTCTTTGGTTGCTGGAGTTCCGTTTTTATTATATGTAGATAGAAAAAATGGCAGATACTTATCTAGTTCCAAACACTACCAAAAAAAAGTAGAAAGGTACAAGTTAATTAAAAACAGACAAGAAAGTTAAACATACAATTTTAACAAAGAAACAAAAAAAAATTAAATCTATAAAATTTGTTGTCTGTGTACGCTCAAACTTATCCGAAACTAGGTTAATGGCTTCATATCTATTTGGAAATTTTTAAACTTCACACGCACCTTGGCAATCGTTAGATTTTCTTTATATTAACGCCCCCGTTAGATAAACGCTAAAGATAATTTCCGTTATTTCCCTTTTGCTGACGTAATAGAGGAAAGTGATTAATTTAAATTTTAGTTTTTGGTACTATTTTATAGCCCCAACGCAAATCCTAGAGTTTTTTTGTGTCTGCAAAGGTTTAACGTAAAAAAATATCAAACCTCCCAGTTTCTAATGTGGGGAGAAAAGGTGGTTTCACTAGTCTTTCAAAATACGGATCAATAGATAATACTAACGACAATTTCTCCTAAATTTGAGAATGTAGAAAGAAAACTGGACGCTCGGCAATATTAAAAATGTGTTGGCGTTGTACGTGCTAAAGCAAATCATACGTGAAAACATTGCCTATGAAGCTATTCAAAGGTTCAAGATTCAAGTGGAAATAATCCCTTTAATGCAGCGCATTTTAATTTAGCGTAATATTAAAAATGTAGCGAGAAAAATCCATATACTAGGAGTAATTTTCCTCTTAATTTAACTGAAAAACTCACGCAATGGAAAGCCGGTTTGTATTTCTCGCTTAATGGCCTGAAGCTCCTATTTGCGTTAAAAAAGCAATGCAAGCCCCGAATTAATTTCGTAAACTAAAACATAAAAACAAACGCCGTACGTACACGTATATGAAATGTCAGTCATTGCTTTACAATTCCATCAAAATTCTAGTGGGTTTTTTTATTTAAAATACTCCAAGATTTTATTTCACCAAACTAAGAACGAGTTTCTGGCGGAATTTAACTGTGCCGGGCAAATTGTATGCGACAAATTCTGGGAAAAGTTAGAATATATTTAGGAGGGTAACAGCTCTTCGAGAAATATCATACCGTCCCCAAAAATCGTTATCACAACGCATAGTAACACTCCTTTTCGATCTGACGTTCCGTATATATTGATTGATTTAAAAATAAATCTTATTTGTATATAAAAACGAATAAAAATTCACATGTATTCCTTCAAATATAGTAATAAGTCTAATATCTTTTGGTCTACGACACGATGTCTCTTTATCGATTCACATCTACTCACTGTATGTTCTGTTTTAATATTTAATGCAGAAGTGCATGGCATGACTTCTTACCGGAATCAGCTATCCAGTTAGTTCTCGAGGGTTTTAAAAATTCTAGCCTGTCAAATTTTTCTCATAAGTCAATTACCTACGCGATGAATATATCTACGTACGATTTTTAAAAAATCAAATAAAATTAAAATTAAATTGATGTCATTGTGGTAGTTATGATTTTCAATTAAGCAGTTTTGGCGTTTTTCCCAACCTTTGATTCAGTCACAAAGACGGAAAGTCGGAATTCGACTTGAAACAATGGCAATGAACTATCGATTTTTAGATCCGATTCTACTTCGAATCGGCAGGTCCGTACCTGTTTAATTTTAAGGGTACAATCAATAGCGTCCGATCAGCCTCTTTAAATGTTTAAGATTCTATTACGGAAGTATCTTATTGAATTTGGCGATATAATTTAATGAAGAATTGGGAATTTATAAGACAAGTAACCACACGGCCTGGTCCTAATTTGATTGATTTTAATACACGCCATCTAGGTACAAAATGACACATTGCGATTCCAACATTTTCTATATTAAGTCCGCAAAATGGACATACTGTTTATGTCATGGTAATAAAGTTTAGTTTAGCCGATTTATAACCAAATATAGATTAGTTTTGTTATTCGATGCAATAATAAAATATAAATTACTTCCACAACAATTCCTAAATGACGATGTCTATGCCATCACCAAAGCATTTCTGACATATTTATGGCTGTGTTTACCACCTTTGTTGAACATAGTATCATTAAAATGATAAAACATTAATTAAGCACTTCTGGAAAGTTAGGTTTAGAGAATAGATAGAAAATTATAAATGAATATCGGTGAAAGCGCTATAGGGAAAAGAACACTGCTTCAAAAGATTCGTTATAGCTGTAGCAGACTACCGCTTGGTGAAGAAGAAATTAAGAATTGGAGCATCTATAAGTCAAACAAAATATTAGTGACGGCGTTGGAGTTTCCTGCAAATTCTAGCGTGCTCGTGAATCTGCTTTTTACGGCTAGAGGGGGTCGAAAGAAGAAATTGTCCTTAATTTTTCTTAGTCGAGCGAAGTGCGATTTCAAAAAAATTATTGAAAATGTTCAATGCGCGTGATAAAACCAAGTTTCTTCTCGTAAGAAAAGAAAACTCACCCTAGTCATAAAAATTTCGCTCCCCCTGACGGCAGAATTTTGAAGGGATGACTGATATTGGATCAATATTACGCTCATTGCTTCGCCCATCTAGTGGAGGCTGTTCAAACTTAAAGAGAAGGCGTTCTAAAATCAATCTACTTGGGAGAAATCTAACAGATCTAACGGCATGTTACGAAATAATGAATTGCATCCTCTCCAAAATTGTAATTTAAGCAAACAATACTGAGTTTAAGCGACACATCCCAATATTATCTGATTTTTATTTCTCTACAGTATTTGCAACAATTAGAAAATTATGACGTAAATAGATCGATACTAGACATGTCTCAATTGCCAAATCAAACGAATGAAACGACGCAACTGGCCAAATATTGATCTTTCGGAAAAAGCGTAGCACCATTGCTTTATCGTCGCCATGGTTACACATTCCGCAATATTTTGGCCTTTAAGGTCACACTAGTGCCAGCAAGTCTGCCCAAATGAGAGAGTGGGGATTACATCGAAACCCTTTGTGTCATTCACGAATCTTAACGCAGTCGCCATGAATACCCACGTGGTTATCAATTTCTAACCTGCACAATTTAGCATGTAGCAGTTACTCCGGTGTAGACCTCCATACATGCATTATTTCAACGAAATATTTTTGCGTTACCGTTCGTTTTTAATTTTTTGAATCTGGCCGTGTTATTTTAACGAAGGGTGTTTTGCGAGGACCTTCTGAAGGACGTATCGTCGTCGCCCAGAAAACAATATGGCGCTGGTGTGATTTTACCGCGGGCCTCTTTTTTTTCCAAGCTAATCACGTCCGTTTAACTATGATAATATTAATAAAATTAATTCATTGGTCTCGTGAGTGGTGCCATTGTGCAATACGGGGCCTAGAATTTATCGGCCATCAATTATCGACACATGGAGAATTCATTTAAGACTCATGATCTTTCACGAATATACGTTAATACTATCCATAGTTGATGTAAGTTTGTAGCAATTTTCGAAATTTTGAGCACCGTTTCAGCTGAGCTTAGTTTTTAAAAGTTAAATTTTAAGAACGGAAACGAAAATGTTCGATTGAATGAGATGGCTCCAGACTGGCTGATCATTTCAGCATGACGTATTTCGAATTTATTAGCACCGAATTTTATGCTTGAAAATATAGCCGCTTTGCAAGGCTTCGTAGGCTGAAACTTCTTGGTTTCCGGCATTTTCGTTTGGTCTAGAGCAGCCATTTTCTGTCATGTGATCCACACGTCACAATTCACTGCAGGTGTGTTGCAGCCACATCGTTTTAATTTCGCATGATAGGCACGTGACACAAAAATGTATTCAGATGCTCGTTATCACACGAAACATGAACGATAAAGAAAAACGAATACATTATTTGAATACTTAGAACCCAAGGCAATCTCCAATCGAGATGGGCGGATCCAATTGAGGATTTCAAATTTTTCGAAAATAAAAGCCCGCGAAATTGAAAAATTTAAGCGCTTTTTAGTGGGGAATAAAAATTCCGCAATTTCCCATTGCTCAGGTTGTGGAGTTTGTATTTTAACTTATTATGGCCAGGGGATAGTGAATAACAATATTGATTTTTTTTCTTTGACCTATTTATGCTACGCGGGGAACTTACCACTGGGAACTTTGGGACCATTTGATTTATTATTTACAAATTTTTAGCAATTCTGCCTAGAAAAGAGGCAAATGTTTGCCGAAACTAACAACAAATGTTTGCAAAACTAACAATAAAATATGTTTTGATAAAATTAAGGCTTTCTGGTATAACTACATTAAAAATACATACAGAATTTGCCTAAAATGTTACAACGAAACTCAATGTACATAATTTGGTGGTACTAATTAAATAGCCCGCGGACGATAGATAATTAAACCAACATTTAATTATCAATTTAATTATAGATCAAATTATGAGATTACCCGTCTTTTATATCTGTAGCGCTGTTCCTAATTTCAAGGCATCACGCATTAGTTTATCGAGATTTTCGATCCAAAACAAACGTATTTTATTGTAAGTGATTCACTTTAGAAAAAAAAAACGGAAAATTTGTCCTTATATATTTCAACTTAATTATCAGACTCTTTTAAATGTTTATTTAAATGTCAATTTCATTATATGAATTACACAATTTTTTTTGACCCAACAACGCCTTAGAATTAAATAAGTCATACTCAAACTAGTATTTTAGCAGTAGTAGTGGCTATTTATTTAGATAGTATAGATAGTAATTCTAATCGCAATTCAAAATTAAATGACCTTTGGGTTTATTTAATTTCTAATTGGAAATTCAAATTCTACCAACGGAGTTGAAACAGAATTGAAATTTTAAATTGATAAAACCAAATTTCGCCATTAATATACCTTAAATGTCATCTAACAACTCCAAAAAATATCTAAAAAACAAAAGTGTCATGGACAACCTGAGTGATTGTTTTCTCCATATATTACACTCTGTATGATGCAAGTATGATGCGAAATCCCTGTATCCAATAAACGTATACGATTTCCTTCTCGAATATCCACTTAAAATGGAAATATTGGACGTATTAAATTCGATCTGGGAACTTGCAAACAATTACGTGATTTGATATTCCTATCAATATAATACATGCAATGTGGGAGTTGGATTTGTTCTACAATTTCATATCTAATTGCGGTTAAAAATATAAAACATCAAAATATTACTTTTTACAAAACTTCTGGATTCCTCCTACTTCCTCGAACTTGCGAACTCAGCAAAAACCGCCGCAGGAGGAATCCAGAAGCTTTGTAAAAAGTATTACAGTAGCATTTGAAAAACATAAAAATATGGTAAGATTCGTTTGTTTTCAAAATCCTGTTCTGAACACTAAACTTCTTATTAATAAATATTTTTTGCACTAAATTGATTATTTATACTTTATATCAATGTTTTCTAAAAGACCACGTAGGTCTAAAAATTCAGTATGGGAAAAAGAAAGTGAAAATTGTTTAACACATTTATTATATTTCACACGTAATGTTTAAAAGTGAACTATTTTATATGAAATATTTCTTAAATAAGCTATTGAATTGTTTTACCATGTAACTTACCAAGTTAATAGCAGTTAAAAATGTATTTACTACAGTTAATGATAAATTTGAAATATAAAACGAGTTTCAAAGAAAAAAACAGTTCTCTGTGGATTACATTTTCTTTTACCTTAATAGTAAAGAACGCTTACTAAATTGACATATCTGAGTGCTATTAAATTATAGATATAGCTATGTAAAATTTACGACATATCTATCTAATTTTTAGCAGAAGGTAATGATAAAATTATGTGAAGTGGAAAAATAAAATCGATTTTCAAATGAATTTATGAAAATTAAAATCAAATTAAATCAAACTCATTCAGTTTGTTATAAAAGATATAACCAAAAATACAAATGTTAAAAGTATGCAATACCAGATAAGTTCCTACGAAAAGATGAACAACACAAAAAAAGTCCTTTGACAAAAAATCTTATAATGATTATAAAAACCGGTGACATGAAGTCTCACAAGACCCATTCATCTTATCAAAAGGAATGGTCCATTCCGAAATGACCTACATAATCATATAAAAAAACCAAACAACAAACGTAGAACAGAATACATTACACACCCCGTATGGCGCATTAGTCCGGGCCAATCCCACCCTGGTAGGAAATTAGGGATTTTCGATCTACCCCTAGTTTGAGGCAGTCGCAAACAGCCAGTGTGCAATAGCAGTGCTGGTAGCGGTGACGTTTGCTGACGGAATTTCAATCGTTCAATCGCTTGAAAAAAATTGTTTCTAAATACAAACAAACCACAAAATAAAGTTAAATGAGGTTGCCGGTGCAGTTCAAGTGTTGCATATCGTATTTAACAGAAAAGTTATCTAATTTATATCATTATCTAAAAAGAACATGAATAAGAGAAGAAGCAAAGGTAAATTTCCCAAAGTGTCACTAAAAAAGATCATTTGCTTTCGGTGTTTCTTTTTTTTTTCTCCTCATTCGAGAACGCTGCATTTTTGTGTGTTTATTTTTTCAATTAACGCTTGGTTTTTTTTTAATTTTCCAGTTTTGTCTGGTGAAAATCACTGGTGCAGCATCGGTAACTGTTTTAGCTGGTTGTTGATAAGGGCCGCTAATTTTGTTGCCTTTTTCTTTCAAATTTGCTATGCGTTTTGCTTAATGTAGATGAATGTTGTGGTTAGAATCGCACTAGCCGTCCTGTCCCAATTTAATATTACGTACGAGTAGATAGATATTTTAAAATTGGAAGTGGATGAAAATAAATCCAATCCAACAAACCCTAATGCTATATTACCGATTTTGTTTATGTTAAATATTACAACCTTTACCGTTAGTAGATCGATGAAGAAGCGACAGCGAGTTTTGCACTTGCTTTAGTGATAAAAGCAATTTTATAAACCAAGTGTTGTCTTAATGCAAATACGATTAAAAGAAAAACGGATTCAGCTGCCAACGCTGAACTGCAGTGCAAAATGCGCAAAGTTCGGTTGGGAATTAAATAACTTTAATGCGATTTCCGTTTGTGTTTAGAAAGGATTTAGATTTCCCATCGTATCTACTATTTATTTTTCTTAATTGAAAAAAGTTCACATAAAGCGGACAGTTGACGGCACTGCGGAAGCATTTTTGGATTTCCAAGTGAATTGGCAAGATCGATTTTGTTCTAAAGTTAGTCGTAAATCATTTTTTATTCCCATCCCATGAACTTTCGCGGTGTCTGTAAATTTTATAGTATTCGATATATATCCAATTTAAAAAGATACATATGAAATTGGGTGGATTACTTTATTTTTCCCATACACCTTCATTCATGTCTTGCGTAAATGTAAACAAAAAACATTTTAATTAAAAACTGTGCATTTTAAAGAACTCTAAAAAGAATCTTCGATATTGGAAGGAGACACCAAAGACGGCAATAAAAGATCCACTTTTATTTTACACCCACGTTTCTGCGGTTTATTTGGCGTAGTAAAAATAACATTAAATATACAAATTTAGACCCGCTGCTAACATAGGCAGCAAATAAAGACAGCTTCGGCTAAGTACCTTATAAAAAATGTGTAGTTTTATATACCCTTTTTTTTTCATGTGGATTCAAAAGAAAACCCCCGTTCGTTGGAATTGATTCTCGACTCATACCGTGGGTGTTGAAATACAATTTACGCGAATCTCATTATTCAACTAAGCAGAGATAATGAACAAATTTCAATGGCGAAAATGTTTGATTCTATTATGTATACGGAGATAGCGCACGATGGACAATCGTAGTGGGGAGAATTTTCACCCTTTTGTTTATTCAAATAATCGAGTTTCAATTTAACTTCAATCGCAAATTTTACATGTTTCCACCAAAAAACTTGTTTTAATTGAGAATAAATTTGCTAATTATAGAATCTTTTAACGTGCATCGAATTCATTTAAATTTCACATACTGAAATTATGTCTGAAATCACGGCTTGGTTTCTTTTTTGTGTAGTAACAGTCTAATAGAGCACGCTTGAAAAATTCTCAGAAGACTATCGCAGGACAAATTACCAGTATATTGTAGATTACGATGATGTTTGTAAAACTTTAGACCTTTAAAGATTCTGAAATGTTAAATGTAAAATCCAGCTTTAAGGATAAAAAAGGAAGAAAAAAGATATACCCGTAACTAAAGTTCAAGAACCAATTAAAAACGGGCGACTGCAAAACAAAATCTAAGTTCAACGTTAACATTGAATTTATTTACCACATTTGAGCGACATGCAATTTTTCCGCGACAAAAAATCAATATTCTAAGGCTAAATGTTAAATGGCAAATTGTTCAGACACAAACTTCGGTAAAGTTTTCACTCTGTACCTCGGTCGTCTGCAGTATTCTTTGAGAAAGATTTACGTTTTCCTAAAATCTTAAATTACAGTTTGCGGTTTCAAGTCGGTAACAAGAACATGACTGGAAGTAATCCAAAACGGAGGCCTCGTTAGGATTATGCAAAATTAAAAGGAAAGTGACAACGGCAACACTGTACTAAGCTGTCGTAAACGCAAGGGAAAGAATAAATAATAAAATATTTATCTCAAAAATAAAATATTAGAAAAGTGAAATTATAGAATTATTTCCAACGTTACTAATATATATTTCCAAATCGACAGAAGCAAAATAAATTCGTAAACGCACTGCAAATAATAACTCGCATCTTAGCGATAAAAAAACATAAAATTTTAATTTCAAAAAACTTTTAAAACTTATTTGATTTGAAAATATAAAAGTCATAGTTTTAATTATATAACTATTGAATTTATAAGTATTGATGGAGAAAATATAAAAATCACTACCTAACCATATTACAAAAGAAACATTCTTTGAGCTACGGGAATTTTCGGTGTAATGAATTTTTCAGAATTTAATTTGCTAACTCCGCCGTCAGCGTCAATTTCCCACAACATAAATTGAACATATTTGCATATTTGCTTCTATTATTCCTTCCGACTTGCCATTTAATCAATGTCTTACCAGAAACATTCAATACTATTATCGTCATATGCTATAAAGGAAATTGATCAAATCTCGCCAAATTTCTTTAAGGCTGGCGAACTTTTGCAAGCAATAAGAAAGCAGCATTTCCTATACATCCGTCGCAGACAGATATAAGACGATTACTAATGTGCTCCTGCATTTCAAAGCGATTTTAAATTTCACAAATAACTTTTAACTACTGAGAAATACAAAAAGAACGACAAAACTAAAGCTTTTTCAAATCTGTTTATGAAAATGTCGAGTATTTACTTATCTAGTAACTTAAATATTATATTTTTATGAGAAAATATAATAAACAACGCATCCTTAAAAATAAATAATCCAAAATAGTGAAAGTTTGGGATTATTAAATTCTTCCAGATTTATTGGTTATTAAAAAAAAATTACCAAAATTTTTAGAGATTAATTCTGTTGAAAAGTATCCGTAATTATTATTAATGCCATTTATGGCAAATGACAATACAATTATTATCGGTAATTGTATTGTCATATATAAAAAAAAGTGTTTTCGGAGCGCGAGCATTGAAGATGCCATGTGAGATTTTGGCGAAACGTCTGCAGGATTCCAGTCGGATGCAGGATTCCAGTCGGAGTTCAACGAGCGAACGGATGATATCCCGGAATATAGTGTCATCACATTTTTCCATCCGTGAATCATATATATATATATATATATATATAT